GCGCTTTGCGCACGCTATCAATGACGAGTGACCTTGTTGAGGATGTGGAGGTGGTTGACTACGAGTCAGACACTCTTTTCCCGCACGGGATGACGAGGAAGGCGGGCTTCGCCAGCGGCGTGATACGAGCCCTGCTCGTGCCTTGCGGAACCCATGTCTGTTCTCTGACTTCTCGTCAACCGAGGGACGTGATATAATCACCAATGACTTCGACGGGGCTCAGAGGCGGCAGCTGGAAGCTGCCCATAGGGCGGCTCTGAACGCGCCCATCCACGGCCGGTCATTGATTCTCGTGTGGAATATGACTTCCGCCTAGCGATCCCGCTGTGGAAGCATAGGACGCGGTCACTCGATCGTAACGCGTCCACATCATCGGGAGTCCGGCCAGAACAGAAGATGAGCTTGCCAAACGGAAGGCTCTTCGAGCTTGTTTCTTGGCTCCACAAGTATTTTCGTTGGAAGCTTATCGCACTCGTCTGAGTGCTCAACGAGGTGGCTCTTTTGCACCCGCAATGCGGACAATACCTGTAGTGCTTGCCCCTGGCGAAAGCGCTACAGATGATGAAGCGCTCATTGGGCGATGGGTGCAACGGCACCGGAAACTTTCCTCACTGTATCACCTACACTCGAGCCACAAGGAAGTGGACGTGCGTGTGGAGCGACACCTCCGACTTGTGTTTGCCAAACTAAAATCACGCCGTCGACTTCCTTCAGATTGTCGCCCTGCGACGTATGGGTCAACCCCTTACGCTCGCGCGGGGCGTCCTGATCTTTCTGATCAAAAGCGTCCACGGCGTCTGGGCATTCTTGCCGAAGTGGCGTCTCAAACACCACGAGCTTTCGGAGTCGGGATATCCCCGCCACTTCACCAGATATTGGGTTTGACCCTGGTAGCGACGTCATCCCACAAGACGTTCCACGTGACAGTGGACGTCGCCGTTCTCATCGAGAAGAGTCGGTGGCGGGCAGTGACGACCGGGTCGACCGCCGTCTGGTGACTCGTGATGCGCTTCGAGCCCTTGAGGACAAGGTTCTTCGTTATCGGAGCTCCGCTGAGCATCATGCTGAAGTAGCATATCGCTGTGCGGTTGCTCGTGACGATTTAAAGCACGTCGTGCGCCGGTCGCCTCGCCTTGAGGACTACCGCGCTCTGTCAGAGCGACTCCTAGTCGTGGAGCAGGCGAATGTGTCGCTGTATGCGACGGTGGGGCGCTTAGAGCCATTAGAGGTGGAGGTTGTTGCACTCCGTGCTCAGAACCAGTTGCTGGTTCAACTACTGGGTGGCTGAGGGCCCATGGAATCCGCTCCGGCGCCAACGCTTCCGAGTTCACTTGCGCCGGATCCCGA